TTGAGATATCAAAAAAGTACTCCAGAGTGTTGTTCAGCATGGGGGTGAGTAGAAAATGAAGGCTAATCATGTTTTGGGTGTACTATTCCTTTAATGGAGCATCATAATACAGATGTTCCAAAAGTGCTAAATTGATGATGTACATGTATTTATTAAACGGTTATGGTAATTACATCTTACATATAATTTTAAGATTTTAGATAAAGGCTGAATTACAAGTACATGTCTGTTACTTCTATACTATTTCCTATTTGCAGATTGTGCCTGCATGAGGTCATATACTTTTATCCTGTGTTCAATTTAATAACTTCACAGAGCTTCAGTTTCTACACTAGCAAAAATCACATAAAACTGTTAAAATAATAGGCAACATTAAGTTCCTATTTTGCTTTTTGCTCTTAGTTACAACAATAAAAAAATCTATACATACAAGTATGTATGCACACACTGACAGTGAAATTACCTGTTAAATCGACTTCCTACAGCCGGCAAACTACTTGTTTTTGCAGCCAAATGCTACACATGAAGGTGTTTTTACTGCACATCTCCGTGGCAGAGGGGAGTGCCAACATGGAGGAGGGTGACTTAATTTTTTTTTGGGCAATCAGCAATTCAGTGAATAAACAGAGATCAGTGATTCTCAACCACATCCAAACAGTAAGACAGAGGCACCATCATTGCAATGCTAACCTTTCATTCCTAACATTTTGATTCCATTTAGGTTAAAACATTTCCTTTTGACCTCATCTGTTCAGTGCATTTCTATCAAACGTTTACTGTGTCCATACAAATTCTAAAAATGTTTGACTTTCCTTTCCTTCCATCCACCCTTCAATTATAACAGGATTTATAACGTTCGTCTTGTCTGCAGATTAACCAAACAGAGATGTTCACTTCTGCAGCCTCTCCAGTGTTACCATGAGCCTTTTTAGCAGAGTCTGCCATTAATGCACTCATTGATGGGGTTTGGCAGGCAGCCATGTCTCTGTAGACTTGTGCTTCTCACAAACATTTTCATTCTTAATTTTAAGGATTCATCAGGGCTGTATGAGAAGAGTGTGTTGGATATAGTTCTTTAACCTAACCCTGTTTTAAACTATCTGTTGCTCTTCTTGATTTTTGTTCTATAATATCCTCAAATAAACCTCTGAGGCTGGATAGCCTGGTGTATGAGCTCTGTACATTTAAGATAAATGCAACAGTACAAAAAGGGCAGGAGGAAGGAAGGAGACTAAGATGCAATACTGTGGTGCAAAACATTGCAAGAATCCAAAGGTTTTTCACGACCCATAAATATGCCTATATAACCATTTGGTTCACCACAGCAAAACAAACTGCACTAAGGTTCACTTGCCAGCAAATTTAGACCCACATTTTCAGTAGAGCAGAGATTGATTGTTTGGTCAGCACAGATTTCAACAACAACTTAAACAATGCGGATTCTCTAAGGTAGCAAACAGCTCTGGTGTGAAAGTCCTTAAACCTACTGATTAGGCAACTGCTGGAGGTATTTAATTACAATGCATACTTAAGGATGTCAAATTAAATTAGGCTTAGTACTACAGATAGACTAATACAACGATCGGCTGATATTTTTGGCCAATATTAAGTTTTTTGGGGGTTTTCTGTATTGTTGTTTGTATCGGGGGATACCTGCATGTCCTCAGAGATTCATTAGTGCATTCAGCAGCCATCTATTGAGATGAATGAAGGACATACATTGCTGCTCCCTCCATTGTCTATCAACTGTCAATGTTTCATTTGATTTGCTAATAAATGTTTCTTTTTTTGCTTAAACTGCGATTTGTGTAATATTTAACATGGTTTCATTTCTATAATGTAAATGGAGAAAGGAAAACCAGTTCATGTCTAAGAATCTACCTAAAAATTTCAGCAGCACATGTTGGAAAATAATAGTGGGTATCAGGAATCAGTCAGAGCAGCTCCAGAGCCAGAAGTGGCTCTTTGGAGCCTCTATAATGAACCAACTGAAGGTTTTTCATCTTGTATAATACAGTAGAATATGTACACGTTGGAAGTTTTAGCTGTTTTTTTTAGAAAAATGTCTGAGTTGAATTTTCAAAACAGAATGAAAACAGAAGCAATAATACGTTTTTAGATTTATTTTGGAAATTTATCATCATTAGCTTAGAAGCTATTTTTTCAGTTTGCTTGTTTTTTTAATAATTTTATCTATTTCCTCATTTCAAAACATAAAATTACAAATAAATGGCCACAATTATTTTAAAGCAAACCTTTCACAAAATGAATAAGTTGTGTTTTACTTAAAGGTCATGTAAAATTTGCAGCTTTTAACCATTTTTAATGGCTGCACCTCAGGGCAAAATGGCTCTTTGGATTTCAAAGGTTGCAGGGCAAATTGTTAAACTGGTGCCAAAGTAATTAGTATCAACATCAGGCCTTAAAAAAATAAAAAAAATAAAACATTTCTGAGTCGATCTCTCCTTTGTACAAATTTGTGCATGCCAGGGCTTGCATATGTGTGCAGTGCCTGCATAGCCAGAAGGATTGTATCTTCATAATGATAACCTGTCTTTTAAACAGTCAGACAGATTAGCCTTAAATCCTCTATTACGTCAGACTGAATTGTGATGACCAAACGTTTTTGCCCCGTCATAAATGAGCGACATTGATCCTCTATAGTTAAATTACCCAGCTTGAGTAAGGAAATCAGGAAGTTATATCATCACTTTTTCTTCTTTTCTATTCTGACACATCATGTTGTAGCTTTTCACTTTCCACCAGTTACACCCAGCTCAGAATGTGGCACTATTCAGTTATAGGTCCCAACCATCGGTCACAGTTGACAGGACTGCCCCAGACGGCTGTGTAGCGAAGCCAAACACCTTCTGTTAGGGTACACTGCAAAGGCTGTTTACATTCAACATTCTGGGCTGGAAACAAATCCGCTCCGGCACATTGTGGTCAGCAAGGTTAAAGAAATCAGACAGGCTATGCAAATTACCGTCTTCCTTAAAACAAATACAGAGTATGAAGCAGGGTTGGAAGTTTCTTCCGGTTGGTGTTTTTTTTCCCGAGGATTTTTCCATGTTTTTTTTCCTGCCGGAAGAAATAAGTTTCTTCCAGTTTCTTCCGGAAGAAACTTGGAAGGTCAAATTTATTGAAAGGTTTTGTTTCTTTTGGTTAATAGTTTCCCTTAAGCAGGCCCAAATCAGGTAATAACCTTGAGGTGTGGTTCAATATCTATAAATCAGGGTGATTTGGGGGCATGAATAGCAGAAGAAAATAAAGAAAAAGAAATGAAAATTTGCAACACAGCCTGTGCTTCCTCTGCCCCATTGAACAGATTTTCTCAAGCGTTGGTATGATCACAAAAATTTGAGGAATCGCCTTTGTGTGGGAAAGGCTACAAAACTTGTATTCTGTTTTTCCAAATGCAACGTGGCAAGATTGAGCTGGACAAGTGAACTGTATTTTGCTGCTATATAGCTGCTGTTCTGTATGTGTAATGCAGTTGTTACTTTGCAAGTTTTGTGACCAATAGTTATTCATTAATCTAGATTTGTAGAACATACACTAAATATATTATATAAATTCTTAACCCCTTGAAGCCTGAATTGATATATACATACTTACATATACATACATATAAAAAGAGATTTTGTGCGTGTTTTTCCCTTCAATGAGATGCCAAATTAAAATAGTTAATGTTACTAAATAAATAGAAATGAAGTATATTTTGTAACAGCAGTTATAACTATATAATAACATACACTGTGACTAGCATGGGGTGATGCAAAAACCCTATGGTGTCTGTTTACCTACACTGCAAAAATGTTCTGAAAATGAGTAAAAATGTCTTTAATTAAGTGTATTTACCCTTAGTATGAGTAGGAAGATAAGATGATCTGCCAATGGAATTAGCATTTTAAGCCTTAAAATAAGATAATTAGATATTATGCACTTAAAATAAGAGACTGCAGTCACCTGCAGTCAACCTGATCAATTCAAGAAAAATTGCTCTTATTTTAAGAAAAACTGACTCAGTTTTAAATTTTTTGTAGTGTAATACAAGTGGTTTGTTGCTTATTAGCAACAACAGGCATCAAAGGGGTAATTTGTGTAACTGTGTGTATTCTCAAAGATTTCTCCTTATGTAGCCTGGTAAACAGAGTGAGTTGACTTTTCAATAAAACTATCCCAGTTCTCCAAAATATGATCTATTACCAGGACTTTCTTCCAGAAGAAATGGAACAAAAAAAAAAAATAAAAAAATGTTTTCCCCCAGTTTCTTTCACTTATCTGGAAGAAACAGTTTTTCTTCTTTAAGACAATAAACTCAACCCTGGTATGTAGGTGGGGTCAATATCTACTTGTAGGCTGAGAGGAAATATGATAACAAATGATGAGATTATTAGGAAACATTTCAAATTCGAGTGCTTGTGTTCAAAATGGAAGCTCAGTGAGTGAGAAGATAACATCTGTAATACGCTGATGATTCACTGTGTTAAACAAGTCCCTTAAAGCTTAAAAAAAAGGAGCAGCAGTTATTATTACATGTGCAGTGAACTGTACTGACCGTGGTGCATGTAGCCACTGTTGCAAAGCCCCACGCCCAGGGTCACCGCATCCTCCCTGTTAGAGCAGTCTCCCTGGGAAACCAAATCAATGACGCACACAGTCAGTCCCACAATCACAATGCCTGTTTACACCTTCTCAGACAACACACTGCTGCAGAACCTGGGTTACAGACAGCCGTGTCTGAGTGGCAGGTTTATACTTAATGAAGACCAACACAGGTTCATATTTGCTTCACACATGAGAGTGCCTATTGTTATTTTTCATCTAGATATGTGGGATAAAGTATTTTTGTACCATTATGAAAAAAAAACATATACTGATCTAAATTAGAAAGTTGTAACTGCTTGGAAAACCATTAATTAAATTATTATTTTTAATTCAAAGGCACATTTAGAGATGAAATAGAGAAAGCTACAGCCTAAAGAATAATTAAATTGAACTTTATTGAACTTACATTGGAGAAATTTACCTAAACAGCTACTGCTTGATGCTTTGTTAAAGCTTAATAGGTTCGTTCTTACCTGTGAGATTAACCAGTCCACCAGTTTGCAAGCAGGCAGAACAGATTTAAAGGTTTTCAAGTGGTGGTCTCTGTCCCTAAAGGAGCAAATACAGGGAAAAAACATGGCGTTTAATCTAAAGGGGGCACAATAATTTTTGCCTTGTCTTTAAGCAATTTTGCTGACATATAAAAAAAATTAATAATAATAAAAAAAAACTCAACTCAAGATTGAATGCAAGGCACTTGAAAAATTAAGCCCTGCTTAATATTGCATGCAAAAAGTCAAAGTAAGCAGCAACTTGCATATAAGCAGTAGCAGGTTAGTGAAGGGGATAATGAAAGTAAAACTAATTTCAGACAAAGTAGAGGGATGGAAAGATTACATCAGTGGAATCAGTGATGTTAGGAACTATTCAAAAGATATTTTCTGCCAAGTTTTGACACGTCTGTTCTTTATTCAGGTCTTTTCAGATTAATGCAGATAACAGGAAGGTTCAACAGATTTTGCAAAGGTTCTTTAGTTTTGTCATTTGCGGCTTTTAAAGTCTCCTCTTCCATTTAAAACTAACAAAAAAAAAAACAACAAATGCAATATCTGCAAAGTAAAGATACCTAAAAATTGCGTTTAGTACTGCTGTAAAAAAAAGAAACGTGATTATCTTTATAAGTTCATTTATCCACTAATGAAATCAGGAACAGCTTTATCCCTGTGAAGCAGAGAAAGGTTAATCATTATCAATATTCATCAATCAATAAATCAGTTAAACCTTCAAATTAATTACTGCCTCAGCACCAATATAGTCACAGATAAAATAAAGAGGGGGTTATATAATAGCTGGCTGGCAGGCTGAGGAATTGCCTTTGTGTGTTAATAGGATTTGTCCTCAGACCAAAAGCTCTTTGTTTGCTCCGATGGCAACCCTGGGCTTTTCAATCAGTGGGTGAGCGATGGAGGGAACGATAAGAGGGAGGACGGCGGTGTGGCGGCAGACGAGTGTGGAAAGCATGTTTTTTTTTTTTTTTTCACGTCACAGGACAAATTTTAAATCTGGAAAATTATGATTAAACCCTATCAGGCAAAGGCAGATTTTAATATTTAGACAAGTGTTAATGCTATAATATATTTCTGCTTTAGGAGTTAAGTGTTTTGGACTAAAGGAGAGCAGAATTTACGCAGCATATCTAATAGAGAAAACAGCTGAAAGCAAACAAATACATGTGTACGAACACGGGGGGACTATCTCATTAGAAAAATAAATTAAAAAATTATTTTTTTTTGGCATTTCCTATAAGATTGTATTATGAACTCCTTTATAAATTTACTTGATTCTATAATAATTGCTCCTTTAAGGGTTTTCTTCAATTAAAAGTCCCAGAACTCTGACATTAATAGCATGGAGTGAACATAAAGGAATAACTGTGACCTAGAGGAGGTTGGGTTAGAGCAGAGAGAGGTTAGCAGCCTGTCATTACAGCAAAGGACTGAAGCTCAATGAATGTGAACCCCAACCATGAATATGCATCTGTGCACCTGGAGGGCAGGAACATTAGCATAAAAAGGGGGGGCAGGTACTTACTTGATGACGGGAGTGTGGAGGCTGTGAAGGCGGCAGTAAAGCCTGACGCCCTGCAAGAGAGGAACAGCGCTGCTGAGTCACACATACTGTAGTACACACCTTAGATAAACATGTATCATCATGAACTGAATGAGATCTTTGGAGTTTGAAAAGAGTTAGCCTGAGGTTATCGAATTAGGAGAGAAATGCCAGAGTGTAGAGGAACACAAGGGTTTTTTTTTTTTTTAGGTTTTATTGTCATTACACCATCACAAGTACAGAACAATGAAATTAACGCTGCATTTAACCCCTTCCCCTAGGGGAGCAGTGGGCTGCCATTGTGTGGCCCCTGGGGAGCAGCGTGGGGTTAAGAGTCTTTGCTCAGAGACCCAGAGTGGCAGTCTGTGGGAGTGGGCCTCGAACTCAGAACCTCAGGATTCCAAGCCCTAACCACTAGGCCGCCACTCCTCATTCTCTCCTGGTAAGGCAGTAGTTCTTTTTAAAAAGGGATTTCTGACTAAGGACATAAATCCCCTACTTTTGCAATGCTTTGCAAAAAAAAACACCATTTTCTTTAAAATAATATTCCAGGCATTATTTGATTTTCCAGTGTCACAATGTTTTAGCTCAGGTGTGAGTCAAGGTCCATCTAACAGCCTAAGAATGTTATTGGCACGCAAAGTTTGATTAAAGGTGTGACTCCTATGATGTAGGCGACCAAATCTGAGAAGCTTTTTTGTAATATTGCTCACACAGCAACAGCTGTCATGAATGCAGGGGAGCAGAAAAGTTTTTAGTCGACCTCTGATAATGCAAGTTCTCCTACTTGGAAAGATGACTATGGTCTGTCATTTTCATCATAGGTTCACTTCAGCTACGAGGGACAAAATGCGAAGATTAAAAAAAAAATCCAGGAAATCAGATTGTAGAATTTTCAAAGAATTTATTTTTAAAATTATGGTGGGAAATACGCATTTGGTCAATAACAAAACTGCAGCTCCAAACAAAAACAAGGCTTTGTTGGGCTACTGTATAAAGCCTCAAACTCAACGCTATTCCTAACATTTTTTATTTGAAAAAGCTTCCTGGATGGGAAGCGAAACGTCCTCAAATTTGGAAACCCAAGTCCAATGGATTATTTTTAACTTTTTTGGAATGACTATGACCTGGATGAGTGATTACCTTCACTTGCATTCAGCTCAATACTTTGTACATTAACTTTGTTGGAAATGATAGAGGTAGAATGTTACTGTAAGTTACCATCAGGTTTGCTCATACTGTAGTTGCCATTTTGATCCATTCCTCCCTCAGATCTGCTCTACATCAGTGATGTTTTTGGGCTGCTGCTGGGCAACACAGACTTTCAGCTCCCTCCACAAATTCTCAATGGAGCTGAGGTCTGGAGACTTGGCTCCACTGGAGTAGTTAGGCCACTCCAGAACCCAGAAATGCTTTTAACGGAGCCACTATTTGCCCAGCGGTGAGTTTAGGATCATCGTCATACTAGAAGACCAAGCCAAGTTCCATCTTCAATTCTCTTGCTGATGGAAGGACAACCTCCTTCCATCAGTCTCATCAAACATGGCCTCTTTCATTCATCCTTTAAACGAGATCAGTTATTCTGTCTCGTTTGTAGAAAACCAGCTCCAAAGCATGATGTTTCCACCTCTATGCTTGATAGTTGAGTTTGTGCTTTATGTTGAATCATCTGATCAGGATATTCTGCTAATCATCCTCTGGGTCATCCATATGCTCTCTGGTAAACTCCAGGCAGACCTGGACATGTACCGTCCTCTGCAGGGGGACATGCCTGACACAGCAGGATTTGAGTCCCTCTGGGCGTAGTGTGTTACTCATGGTAGCCTTTGGTCCCAGCTCTCCACAGATCATCCATCAGGCTTCTCTGTGTAGCTCTGAGATTTTTTCTTTTTCCCACGTTCTCAGGATCATTTTGACTTCCCAGCATGACATCTTGCATGGGTCCCCAGATCGAGGGAGAAAATTGGTCTTGTAATTTTCTTCCTTTTGCTCCTGAAGTTGATTTATTCCCACCAACCTCCTTGCCTTTTGTAGATTGATTCTTTCAAGCCTGGAACAGTTTTCTTCCTGGTGTCCTTTAACAGCTCTTTGGTCTTGGCCATGGTTGAGTTTTCAGGCTGACAGTTTGAAGCAATGGACAGGTGTCTTTTACACAGATAATGACTTCAAACAAACGCCATTATTACTGGTATTGGGATGAGGCCTGGGTCTGTGAGGGTGAGACTCTGGCTTGGTTTGGGTAACCAGATAGTTATTTTCCACCATAATTTACAAATAAATTGTTTTAACAGTGGTTAGTAGTCATATGATGAACATTACAGACCATTTTTCTAAGTAGAAGAACTTAAACAATCAGATTAAATACTATTTTAACAGTGTTTATCATACCCCCCTTAATTTTTTTATGTAAACAGATTCACTATTTAATCGGTAATCTTAAACAATTTCAGGGCTCAGACACTGAACTGCTGCCTTTAACTTTTTTATAAGACAAAAATGGAAAAAATTTGAGCAGATATGTCATTTACCTTTGACATGATGTCTTCCATCTCACTGCGGGCCTTGTAGGTGCCATCGTCGTAGCGGAAGCGGTATAAAACCTGCTCGTTCTTGAACTGGTGTTTGTCCGACACTGAAAGAGCATCAGAGGAAGGAAAGCGTCACACATGATCTGCAAAAATTCCCATCTAAGCAAGTCAATTTTTATTTTCAAAATATATATACATTACAATAAGTGTGTAATGTGTAATAATTTTTTTTCAAGGGCAGAAATACTCATCCCATTGGCTGACTATCTTATTTACCTGCTCAAACTAAGGTCAAATGCATTTATTTTAAGATGTTTTACCTATTTTTAGAACAGTTTTTTGCATTGTAGATGGCAGTTAGGGGACTGATCGTTTAAAGATTATTTATGTAAGCTGTGGCTATAACTCATTTGGGTTCAGAAATGCAAACAGCAATGAGTCGTGTTTGTTTTGACTTGCTAATAGATGGTGCATGCATGGAATGATTGCAGGTGATGGTGACAGCTTTGTTAGTATTGTGTTCTGAAATCACAGGTAGTTAAAATCTAGTGTAGGGTTGGCTGGGAGTGTTTTTCTTTTTCCAAATCACATAAGCTAAACCAGGGCTTCCCCTCTACAATTTTTTTTTCCCCTTTTGGTGCCGATTCTACAGCACAAGAATTTTTTGATCGGGCCGACTTTTAGCCTGATCGTGCATCGTGTAGTGTACAGGGGGTAACGAGGGGCGATCAGCCTCTCACGACCACCTCCCAATCGGGAAGAAAATCAAACATGTTTGAAATGCAGTCAGCCGCTGTAAGGTAGTTGTGGGCAAATCGCTCAGTGGGCAAACAAGGATTCTTCTTCTTCCTCTCAGAAGAAAACGCAGAAGCATGGCGGAGGTGTGAGTGAAATGGAGTTCTTTCAGTAAAACTGACAGACCATAGTAGCAACATTTGATCAGCCATGTCTTTGTCCAATTACATCGTCGCCTTTTCTACTTGTTTGGCTTCCAGATAGACGAGTAGCACCATCTCACTGCAGAGCTGAGTCCAACGTGGTTTTTAGACGTACAGTGGGAGCAGGCAGATCACATCAAAGCATCAGGTCGCACAGTGTGAGAATATACATCGTGAATTATGAACTTTTAAATGGAATTTTTTTTTTGTCCAGTGTGAGCTGTAGCTGCGTGCAACAATTGAAAATATTGCACATTGTACGCCCAGATTAAGGAAGCCACATAAAGATTAAACAGTGCAACACAGCACCGAAGCAACAGGGGGGAACAAAATATGACCAAATATAAGACAAAACGGTTATTAATAATTCAACCTTGAAATTTCTTTTAACAATATGAAAACATTTGCAGTTATCCAGATGTAGGCTTTTAACAAATTCTGTTTGAAAACATTTGACATATTTCACTTCCTCAGGGTAATAACTAGGCCAAACATTAGAGGGGAAAGCTGTGATTCTGTGTCTGCAGAAGAAGCAATAACATTCAAATATTTAACAAAGCAAACAGCTGCCAATTCTCATGAAGCCTCAAAATGAACACAACACCTCCAGAAAAAAAAAAAAGTTGCTGTTTATGATTTCCCCACCACAGCGAAATGGGAAAATGATCCACAAGGACACGACTGAGAGCAGAATCAGTCAAACAGAGACAGATTGGTTCCACCGCAAACAAGCTGGCATTGACTCAAACAAGCTGCTGGTTTTTCTCTCAGTCTAGACTTGAAATGCCCCTATAAACCAAAGGAATGCACCAGAAAATCAGCTTCTAGAAAGAGCCAAATGTGAGACTTATTCAGGACATGAAATGGTCGCTGAATTATCCTTAGAGCAAAGGAGATGTCAGATGACAGTCATGTTTCAACACATATCTGAATGAAGTGTGAAGGAGGCTGATTGTGTTTTATTATTATTACAACATATCATAAATGATGTCTTTTCAATGACTAGCTTGTGATGCTTGTATAATGCCTGTAAGGCACAAACCTTTCCACATCCTTTCTGCCTCACTCTGTTTGTAAGGGACGGTCAGGGAGGATCTCTGGGGATTTTCCAGAGGTTGTAAGGAGCGTGAATGCTGGGTTTGAGCAAACTTCCTCCAGAGTGTGGGGTGTATACATTGACAGAGGTTTGCACTAATAATGCCTCTCTTCAGCAACAGCCTGGACAACTGCATTCATACAATATTTATACAAGTTTGGGGATGAAGAGTGTGTGTGTCTAGGTTTGCTTCCTAATGCATAATTTAGTCTGGAGAGTCAGCAAGTGTCATCCTGAAGACAAAAAAAGCTGGAAAACGGAAATAATGATGTATTTTTTACGAAAATAACAAACAGAGGAAGTCATGGCAGGTTGTAACATGGAAGAGGCCGGAGTTGAATTAAATGAAATAAACAAAAATCTGAGTCAATGGGACAATAAAAACTGGGGGTGAGGAGAAAGACAAATCACAAAAATGAAGGAAGGAAGGAAGGAAGGAAGGAAGGAAGGAAGGAAGGAAGGAAGGAAGGAAGGAAGGGAAAACTGAAAAAGGGAAAAGATCTGTGTGGGCATTACCGTGGTGAATGATGCCATTTTCCAGTAAGGCTTGTCCCAGGTTCACTCCCTCGTCAGCGTTGCTGATCTCTCCGCTTTCTATCAGCCACGACACAAACTCACTGAGAAAAAAAACAGGAGGCACATATGAGGACAGGTGTCTGAAACAGACCCTCTTTTGTTGCTCGGCTGAGCCGTCTCCCTCTTCTCCTTTTTAACTCATTTCAGTAAGTCAGCTATTCTTCCTTAAAGTAGAAGAAACTATGAAGAGAGTTAAGAACACTTAGTGGGGGGAAAAAATGTGTATTTGTATATTTTCTTTATATTCCACTAGAGAATAAATCAGAAAAACAGTTGAAACAATAAAGTTATTGACATCGATGAGTTTGGAAAAGGTTACAAAGCCATTTCTAAGACTGTGGGACTTCCTTTAATATATTTCTTTTTAATTATAACATTACTACATACAAATAATACAGATATTTCGTGCATTTACTATCAGCAGAAAGAACACTTCCCTTTAAATATTAAAAATAACTACATCTGCTTGTTCTTCGGATGTTTATCACAGCTTTGACACCAAACTGCCACTTTTGCTGGAAATTAGCCACTAGGCTATAATGCATATTTAGAGTCCAATGTTTAATGCATGTTTTTAAATAAACTTAACTAAAGGGATTTGCTTATGAAATCACTGTGTTTTTACTGAGGGGTTGTCGGAATGTTAGAATTTCATAGAAGTCTATACATTTATAGAATTACAAAGGTAAACAGCTTAACATCAACCATCGTTTATCAGAAGGAACAAACACTTCCGATGAAAGGGCCTTATAAGCCTCCCATGGCAGAAAGGCTCTATTAAGGTTCAGAAAAAGTTTGGTAGGTGACCAAATCTGCAAGGTTTTTAAACAATAAGGTGGTAAAATAACTGGCACCAAATATGAACTTTCCAGTTGAAATTATGTTAATTAAATGTCTGTGATGTGAAATACACTCAGTATATTTTTTTATTCCATCTTTTCTGCCCAGGGTCGCCTTTCTGCAATAAAAACTGTTTGTTTTTTTAAATAAACAATCAATTTAGAGTTATTACCCGAGAATTGAAAATGTACCTACATGTAAATAAACATATCCTGTTGTTGGCCTGGTTCTCTGTCTGCCTCCTAATGTGTCAATAAATATGTAAAACCAGGCTGCCTGTGGCATTGAGGCTAACATGAGGCCAAATGATCGAGGCTACCTGGGAAGTGAGCTGTTTACTCGTAGGTCTCTGCTGTTTTCAGCTCGCCCACAAGCTCTAACCAGTGAAACATATCCTTTCTGAATCGGAGCTGGCCCCAGGGTCCTCTGGGAGCGCTGATCCATGCTGCGTGTTGACAAAGTGGGGTAGAGTATTTATACCCCGGCCGTTTACTCTTCCAGATGGAGGATTTTTACAGTATTTTAATGGCATACTCTGACCGCAGTTACAGGTGCAGCAGACTCTACAAATGATCTCCTCTAGAAATATCTGTCAGATCTACTTGGACACACAGTAGAACTGTCCAGATTTAGGTACCTGCAGCCCGCTTTCTTGTCTTCCAGGCTGAGCAAATGTTTGAGGGAGAAAATGAGTCTCTCTCTGCCCCCGCCTCTCATCTGTCTGGGTGAAATCACCTCCCCAGATAATAAATCCTTGTGAATCAGAGCGAGATGGTTTGTATTTGTGCCTTTGATCTTTAATCCAAACTACACCATAAAACAATATTAGCCTAAAGGGTGGAAGAATAATTTTTTATGAATATGATGTTTTTAAGAGAGGGTTTCTGACTTTTTACAGTAATTATTATAAAACATATATTTAAATATTTTATCTCAGAATCTCTTTTCATGCAAACATCCAACTCAGGGGTAGTTAATTAATGTTGACGGGAAGAACGACCTAAAGCCGGAGGCGCGTTATGTAAGAATCAGGTTAATTTTGGACTCAGATGTAATGGGAGCAGATTTGATGAGCAGAGTTAAAGATATGAGAGCTGAAAGAAGGGGATGATGGATTCATAGGGACTATCAGCAGATGATAAATCTTCTGAAGCTGCAGTAATGTTTAAATGTTCAGGAAGCCAAAGTTCCTTATATCTCCTGTGTATAATCAGTGGTTCTTGGGGATTTCTTTAGGTTTCTTAAAGTTATTCCTTAGACGTTTGTTGTCTTCATTCTCAATTCCTTTTCAGATCTTTGATATAGAAACAATGGAAGATTGTGGAATTTGTGTTTAAGATGAGAAAAATAAGAGCTATTTAATACATTTATCAGTACTGTAGTTTATGTGTTGCGTATTTGAACATTAGAAAGCAAAACATATGTTCAAAATAAATGGTTAATCTACTGACTGAGTCCAGGTTTAGACCAACATTGCTTTACAAATTCTGCACTATGCAGAAAATAACTAATTTCTTAAGTTTCAAATTACATTTAAAGTAGAAAGAGGTTAGAATAAGCTATAAGAATGAAAGGTTTACTCCTCCCCTGCTAGTCCAGTCCAATTGAGCATGTTTTAAAGTTTCTGAGCCATTTCTCCATCTCTCTTTACCGTTTCTGAACTGTTCAAGCTCCATTTCCTCTGTGCATCCAACTATAACCAGACGGTTTTGTCTCCTGACTCTCTGCAGCTAATTTATTGACAGGAACTCACAGCCTTCTTAGAATTAACATTTGGCGAGGAAGAGGTGCAAATGATATTTCTCCTCGATGAGGTCAGAAACACATTAGAAAAGCCGAAGGAACAGAAGTTAACCATGACATTAACCTGAACACATGATATATAAAGCTATATATAAAGACATATTAAACGGAAAAGGATGGACTAGATAAATATACAAACAAGAAAGACATGATAACACTACAGTGTGGCTACAATGTCATGTAAATAGCTGAAATACATTTAAAGTGGATTAAAATCGGTGATCTTCTGGGGTGGACAGCAGATAACTAATGGGATTAGGCGACAAAGACAAGCAGTGGCTTTTAAACTGGCAGACAGCCTCTGTTAATGAAATAAGGACTCAAGATTCGCTTGTTGTTAATTTGATCAGAAAGACAAATGCAGAGTTAATGAAGCGAGCGCTCATCCACAGGAAATGACTGATAGTGAGAAAAGTGGAATCTGGTTGATTGATAAGAAAGTGAGCAGCGTAAAGTGAGGCAGGTTAGACTTATACCTTAAGGATGAGGGGAAAAAAAGGAAGAGAAACATGTATGGGGTCAAAATGAAGCCAACTCTCTAAAAATAGGAAAGTTTACATCTGGTATTTGAGAAGAATATGAGACTAAACCTGTGAGGAGGCAGGAGTAACTGATGCTCAATTTTAACACCCACCAAAACAACTTTAATGGCTTTTTATCAGCTTTACTGTTTCATATACAAACACAAAGAAGTGAAAGGTTGTAAGCAAGATAAAAAACAACTTTTAAATTAAATCCACTAAAGCAATTGCCTTCAGATGTCAACTAAATGATGTGGGTTTACTGTCATCTTTAAATCCAGCTTTACTAAGTTGTGTTCAGAGATTTGCTAGTGAACATTAGAGAACAATCAGCATGAAGAAAGAGGAACACAGCAGACAGGTAAAGGAAGAGAGCTGTGAAGAAGAGCTAACTGGGTTTAGGCTACAAACAGTATTTATCAGGCTTGGAAAAACTCGCTCACCAAAAACGGCTTAAAAGCAAACAGACCAAGAAATGGACGTCAAGAAGAGAATCAGTCGGAGAACCAAGCATGAAACACGTGGGCTATGTTTAGATAGAACTGGGTCAGATTAACCAAAATAAATTGTGATCCAAATACACGGTTTAAAGGCTGAAAATCAAACATATCTGTGTTTATACGGCACAGGTTTCATTCGCAACAGAAGCGCTCCGACATGCGCAGAGTAAACAGATTTTCCCCCAAAACAACAGCAGAATAAATGTTTTACACTTCCTCGTGTGAAAATAAAAAACAGCAAATGTGGAAGCGTGTTTGTTCTGAATGTTCTAAAGGTTTTTCTTCTCCTTAAAATAAAGCTACAGTCTCAGAAAGTTAAGGTATTGCTGAGTTTCAGGATTACAGCAAGAGAGGAAATTAGTTCAGACTTTCTGGGCTGCCTGCGTGTTTAGAAAAACACTGATCCGATTATGAATCAGCATAAACCACCTCACTTAAGTGGAATATAATTTGATCCCCATTGAAATCATCCCTAATATTACAATTGGTGTGTTTACATGACGGATTTATTTCCAATCCGTCTTTTCCAAATACTTTTCTCTATTTGAAAATGATTAATAATTCTGGAGAATCTGCAGAAATTCAAACCTCTAGACGCTCGGCCAGAAACCCACGTCATTCTGTTTGCAGGAACTAAAACCCAACTTTTTGGCCTAATCTAAACCCTTTTGTGTCACAGAAGGTTAACCCTTTACAGCACAAACATGAGCAAACAGTCTCACTTTGCACTTATCTACTGTTCTACGTTTCTATACAACAAGAGACTAAAAAACTGAGTTGATGTTTATGGTTTTAAGGTAAAAAAAAATGTCAAAACATTACGGTGGGATTTGGTATATTTAAAAGGGATTGTGGATAAAGTCTGAAAATGATAAGAAACTCTTCTAAAAATATCTAAAACATTTTGAAAAGCTCATTAATGCTCCATCTTGGGAGTGTGGATGATCGGATATGTCCTGTTTATTTTCCTGACATTAAGTAAACGGTTTAGGACCTGTACATTTAACACATGGGCACCATCCTCATTAAAAGCTGACTCACTGTTTCTCTCCAGTGGAAAGTCCTCTGTCCCTATGGTGATCCCAACCTGTTTTGTTTTGTTTCCCTCTGTTGGAAGCCGTATGATTTTAGTATTTCTGTTCAGGATCCAACAGCTAAGTCAGAGAAACTTGAGTCAATCTCTAATCACCCCTCCACTGAAAAGCCTATTGAAAAAAATCTCAGCTAAAGATCCCCTTCCAATAAAAGTATTGGTGTGTTTCTGTTTGCCAGATAATGTGGGGATGCAGGGACCAAGTTGGCCCTTTCTATAACCCATGAGAGGTGGCTGTGAGGGGGGCCTCATTATAGAGAAGAGGATGTAGGGATAAAGCATTTCGGGCGTTCTGCCAGGGCTCTGGGGGAAACTGGATTCCAGTTCTTTTGAAAGCCTGCTAAACTTACGTAACGTTTTGTAAAGATCCCCATGTGAACAGCATCGCGTTCCAGTCACATTCTTGGAACTCGAGGAAACCAGACACTGAGGAACCAAAGAGACTCACTTTCCCATGAAGCACTTGGGCACAATGCTGAGCTTCTTGCGCCGATCCTTTATCAGGTGCCTGTTCTTTGTCATCATCATGTGGTAGAGCTTCTCGCCCTTCTCCGCTATCATCACATAGGCATCTCTCTCCATTCCCAACTTCAGACCTGAAAGAGAAGGCAGAGAACTAAGACAGATCCAACTGGTTTGGTCACATTTACCCCCAGCTGAGTGGGACGCTGCTGGGAATAGAGTCCAGCCAAGGATAATACACCCAATCCAGAGAGTTCAACTAGATTTCCAAGGCTATCTAAATGCATAAAAGCAAAGACGGATCCCAGTGTTGTTAGAGGACATAATCAAGCCCTGAGTCATCTGGTGATGTTGGGTTCTTCACAGAAACATTTTGAGATTTGGAAATACCACAAACTCCAAGCTCTGAGGATCAGAGAGGTTCAGGAGGGCATGCTGATTTTGATCTGGTTTCAGTGTTCATTTGTCAGCCATTATTCCTGCACTGAGCTGAGGAGCCCATGAGGGCCCACTGTAATCCTGGCCGCCGCTGTAAAACCACTTGAGTTTTTGAGCTGCTTTACTACAGTGGGATTTGATGAACTTCTCAACTGGACTTTCAATTTCAATAGGATTCCTTAATCTGCTTAAATCTTCTAAACAGCCTACCGGTAACAAGCTTTTAAACTTCAGACTGAAGTATTCAGTTTTACCACCTTCAACAGGCTTTATACAGTTCATAAAATAGCCGACTTTACATTTGACGATCTGGCAAAATGCAAATCCTCATCAGGTGGCAAATCTGTCTAGGCTATGAATGATGATGATTTTTTTAATGATTGTCTTTTACTCTGTTTTAATATTATGGTCTTTTAACCTTTGTTTTAATTTTCCCTTTTTGAATTGTAGCACTTTGAAATTTGAAATCAAATGTAAAGTGCGTTACAAATAAAATTCATTATTATTATTTAAAAAAACGCTGGATGTTTGGGTTGCAAAAGCAGAATTTAGAGTTAATTTTATAGAGAAGGAAAACTAGACTTATTTGGTTTAACTGAAGCTAATTCATGGTTACTGGTTTTTATGCTTTGAATAAAAACTTAAATAAAGAAAACCAATTCAAGACAAGTCTTTTAAAGAAATTAAATATAAATATATATGTATATATTTAATGTGTATTTAGACACACAGACCAATATATATTTTTTTGTTTATTTATAAATGGTAAATTACTAAAAATATCTGTTAGAATTATCGATTAACCAAAAGATAATTGATAGATTAATCAACTACTAAAATTATAAATAGCTGCAGCCCCATATGTGTAAATTTAACGTTTGACTTAGGAGTTGTAAAGGTATTCGAAGCATCCAGACACGTATAACAATGTGCAAAAATTTGTACCTTTCAACAATCCAAAGGAAGGAGGTTGAATAAAGCAATTCGATAAGTTCTGCAGCTTGTTATCAACCCATGTTTTCCCTTTTAGACTTTAGATTACTGCCCTGGCTCTCTGATGAAGGTGGAGTTATATTACATTTGGCAGCAGCTGGAGTAGACTTAAACAATAAGTGTCATTGAACAACAGACGGGGCCTCTCCTGCTGCTCCAGCTGTCAGAGCTCGTCTTAAGGTGCCCCTCATCTTCCTGCTCTGTCTGGCACAAGATAAAAAAAACATAACCCTTTAAGTGAGCCGCGTGTTGTCCCTAAAACTTCCATGAGACCAAGTATCGCCAGCTGGAAGCTCCTGAACAATAAAATACTTTCCTTAGGGCCATGAGATGAGCCCCATATGTCAAAAGACAGGAGAGATAAACTGCCGCAATATGTGAAGAAGGTTCCACCCAATCAGTCTTCTGCTAAAAGCTAATAAGGCATTTGGGGTAATAGGTAGAAAATACCTTGATTTATTGCATAGAAAAATAATGTTGCTGCCATCTAGACAGGAGGAACGAGATAGGGTAGGTACACTGGAAGTAATGCATATGGAAGAAAGTGTAACAGAGGAGCAGCAAGCAGAGAAACTGGGCTCTGTGACTGATCTGGCATCTGTTAGCCTCGGGTCAATTTCCGCCGGGGTGAAACTTAACACCACAAGCTGCAGCAAACTCCTTCAGACCTTATTCTACCATGAGCCCCCTTTCAGTGAGCTCAAATACTATTAACTTCAACCAGAGCGGAAATTTCTCATTTGCACAAGATAGAAAAACCTGTTTTTACCAGCGCTAACTGGAAAACTATTCTCAGTAAAACGGGAGGCAGAGTAGAGCAGAAACTTTTGCATTCATTGACTCTGATGATCCGGTTTTGATTTTTAGCATCAATGCTATCAAGTGGCCACAAATATGGCCAAAGGCTTTCTCATCGGCCAACGCACAGGACATAATAAAGACAGATGGCTGGTGCTGAACAGGTGGGGACTCAATTTGAGGTAAAAGATGGAGGTGTAAAGTTGAAAGAAAGCAACGGCTAAAGGAGAAACAACCATATCGACTTACACCACTAATCTCAAACGAGCACAAAATGCCTCATGTTTACCATTAATGAAAGTAAAGTATATTATGGTGGATTTTCTTCTTCCCTCTTTTGTCAAACTGGTCTGTGTGCAAATGTTTTAGTTCAGTTCAAAGTTCACCTTATCCACTCAGAGAAAGGTTCAAACTCAGACATTGGATGTAAGTTCGCCTACTATCCACTTTATGTGGATACAGAAATGTCCTGCTTAAATTTGAGCTTGATTTTGGACCACTTTCCACAAAAACAGCAGCAGCTTGGTTTGAGAATTTAAGGTTTCCTGATATGGACCTGGGTTTAAAATTGATTTCAAACCAAACGTGTTTTGAGCGTCAGGGCCTTAGATGCGAATTCTATGGAAGACAGCATGGAGGACTGCCTAGAGGTCCAGCAACATGTTTTCCGTTTCAGGGGCATCGGGTCTTTAAGCATTTCCGGCACTGGAAGGAGTTCATGTTGAGCAAAACACACCAGAGTTGGGAAATTGGAATTTTTACAGCTGAACGTTGAGCATCAACCAATCAAAGAAGCTGATGTGAGACCAAGAGCCGTCTGGGTATCATGCAGCACATGGAAGCTGTGATCTCTTCTTCTCAAGAGCTGTCAGCATAAAACTATGAAAAATGAATTCAACTTGTTTTACCAAAAAAAATGCAGGAGAATGTATTTTATAAATATATATATATATGTGTGTGTGTGTGTGTGTATGAAGAGAGTGATAAAGAGTGATCTGATCTTACTCTACAAATATTTTCTTACAGAGTTGTTGTAAAACAGTTTATAAATATCAACATTAACTTAAAATGTCAAGCTGGCCTGGAAAAAATACCTGCTTTTATATATTCTGATACTTGCAGTTTTTATCTCAACCTAAAAAAAAAACTTTATTCTCTCTGAGCCGCTACAAAAAGCAGCAGAAAATCCCCTGGATGGTTTTAGAGAGCTTTTCACAATGATGCTCTAAACAAGAGCAGAAGTCGGATCATTGTCCTGATAAACTCACTGATGGCCTTTTAAGGGGAACTTTCTTGCTTAAAAACATGTTTGTATATTTCCACCTTATTTCAGGTGTAGAAATCTGTTCCATGACCGCCATGACCGGGCAGAGGCAGGGGGAAAAATATTAACATTAGTATGAGACGTCATCTAAGCATAATGAAGCTTTGGGCTCTTCCCTCCATTGTGCTGCTTTTGTTTTCTTTTGTGGATTTAACTTGAGCTCAAACTATGAATATTATGAGAGAAAACACATTTTTGTCGTGTTTTCCCCCTTCCAGAACAAAAACAATATTTCTTGGTTCTTGCAGAGAATGCAAAGACGTCGTAGTGTCTGTTTTACTGCTTTTAGTACTGGAACTTCTTCTAAAAAGTTTATTTTACCCAAGGTCAAACCAAATGAAAAACATTAAAACAGGATTATTAGGAATGAGGGATGCCAATGTTACCTACATACATCTGTGGAGTAAACAGGTGGATCAGACCACAGAGATATGCCAGGACCTTTCTGACAAGTTTTCTGCAACTTATCAGGCACGTTTATACCAGTTCTTGTCTTCTTTGTATATATTTGAAGAGAGATGCATAATTTAAACCATTTGTGCACTAGAAAAAAATCTGCAACATACTCAAACCTATGCAGCTTATTCTAGCTTTTAAAGCAAATTGAAGTTGTTTGTTGAATCATTCTTCTACACCGAGAAAAGAACAGTTCAAATGCATCATTAAAGGGCAATAATGAATATGACACGACAAGTGTTGAAGAGCCAAATCTACCTCTAAGCATTTGAAAAGAGTTTTTAGCATTTTTGCCTCTAAAGAACACTTGTTAAAAAAACAAATGCCTCAGATGAAGTTTTAGATTTTTTTTTTATGTAAAAGTCTATTTAGGGAAACCCTTTTTATAAATTATGCTGACAAAAAGTATTTAAAAACGTTTTAAAAAAGGAGCCTAAACATCTTCTCAGCTAATTTAAATTGACAGGTTACCTTTTAGATTTAATAAGAGTCTATTTAGGAGAGAATCATAAAAGATGTCGGCTGCATTCTTAGCAAAGGATTTACGGAATCTGTTTAAAGATAAAACAATACAAGACAAAAATTTCAGAAATAAGAGTAAAAATAAAAAACAGTTGGTACGCTCTCTACAATAAAGCCGAATGAAATGAATATTTAATCACAGCTGCAGCGTTTCTTCTAAAACATCTTTGAGGAAAAATCTATTTTCTAATCAACAGCAGAAAAAAGAAATAAAAACCAAAGGTTCTGTTAAAAATGGTTGTAAAGACAATAAAATATGAAGAAAATCATTACTCACTCTCTCTCTGCTCCCGTTCCCTCAAGATGGCATCCAGCCACTTCTGCTTGTCCTCTGCGTTTTTGGCCATGCAGACAAACCACTTGTTCTTCGCTGTGTTATGAATCTTCCAGCCATTTGTTACCGTGTAGTTGTTGCTGTGATAGTCAGCTGAAAAGCAAGAGGATGAAGGGATTCAGAAAAAGGAGAGACGAACATGAAAAACAATACTTATAAAGTATCTGTGGCAAAAAGAAGCACACATTTAAAGGAGTTTGTTGGAATTTTAAGGGATAAGCAAAAAAATTAAGCCTTTGTTAATCTGGGAGGAGCTGCAAAGATCCATAGCTCAGGTAGAAGAATCTGTTAACATGACTACCATTAGTTGTGCTACGCAGAAATCTATCCTTTCCGACACCTTAAGTAAGAAGAGCATCACTGATGATGGATGGCCATAAAAATTATTGACATTTAAAAAAAAAAAGTCATCCAAACAAAACAAGAAAACTGAGGAAACTAAAGAAATACAATAATACAATAATAAGATTTGCTAATTAAAGCTCCCTTAAAATGCTATCAGATT